GCTTATGAAATAGATGGTATGAACGAATTTACAGTCAAACAGTATTTGTACTTATTAAGACTAAAGAGCCTTGTGTACAGACTGGAGAAAGGTACTTAGTTGCTTAGTAGTTAAAAGTGGTCTATGAATACTCAGACACAGGATATAAATATCAAAATGCCTCCCAAGCTTTATTATAGTCATCAAGCAACAGAGAAGAGATCTTAATGACATAATAATTGTTATATCTACGAATCTTTATTATGATATCTTTACTGTCCTCTTAGTTAGTTCTTCGTAGTTTTAAATGAAAAGAACACTATCCAGCCTTCCAAGACAATCTCCATCTACACTAAAGATTCTAGCCTAAGTCTTCCCCACTTATATTAGAGCTGACTTCTGCCTAACATTATGATAGTAGGTTGGCAGCAACTGAGATCCCATTAAACAGATCCCTGATTCAGACTTGGAGCAAGGCCAGAGAAGTGGCTGGAATCTTTGTAGTATTGCTTGGCCTGGCAGGTAGGAACAGCATATTGGCAATCTGGAAGGAGAGGTTGTGAACCCACATAGTAAGCTCTATCACAGTACTGTAGAGAGAAGACAAACCATCTACTAGAGAGCTAACAAGTATGAGAAGGTAACATTCTACTGTAGAGAGGTTTGGAAGGTTTTCTCGGGAGAGGGAGGTGAGGCACTCAAGAGGCTATTTAAGAATTTACCTAGTTGTCAAGATTAGGAACATGAGATGGGCCTGGATGGAGAGGATTAGGACTGCCAAAGACAAGCGGGAGAGAGGATGACAGAAGATATCCTGATGGGAGACCAGGTTACTAGTGCAAAATGTAGCAGCAGGATCCATGTCCTAGGTAAGGAGCAGAGGTTCTTAGATACAAGGCAAGGAGAATCGTAAGGAGTGAGGGAGTTTCTCCAGATGCTAGTCATATTAAGTGCTGAAGTCATATATCTACTGAGCAGTTGTACTAAGGAGTGATATCTGATCTGCCAAGAAGTACAATCTGTTAGCAATAATAGTAGATATATGGGAGGGTATTTCTGAGCATGCATATGATGTATGATGAGATGTGCATTAGGTGTATTTGTGAACACAATCTCAGAGAGCACTAAGAAACAATCTCTGCACTTACTGTTCCCCATGAAATATACTCACTTCCTTCCGATTCTCTTTCTCCCCAATTTCCTTTTCTATACATTTCAAAGTTGAAAATATCAGCATAAAGGTCATCAATATTTTTTTTCTCTCCGCATGGTGGCGGTATGAGTGGTACTAGAAATAGACTATATAAGTAGTAGATAGTGGAACACTATCATCATCATATTATATGTGCTGAGCAGTTACATCAAGGAGTGATATCTCAGATAATCAAAATAAAGGATCTGATTATCTGATAAACAGTGATCTTATCCACCTCTACTGTATTTAACATTACAACTACATACTGCACCTAAAATGCCTAGATTCAATGATAATAATACACTACCATGTGGTAGAGGAGTGACTAGTAGAATGTAGCGTGAGGAAAATAGAGAACACAGAGTATGTTTATTTAAGAGGTCACTGGACCAGCCTTATATAAACACCTTATCTAGCCCTAACACTGGTATGACTCATATCTCTATATCTGCCTATCTTATAACTTACAAGTGTCAGTCATGTCAGATCCCTGAGCTGATTCTTATAACTCAACTGTGTCATATGCCTAAGGCTTTGTTTGGCATGTACCAATAAAAATATATTGCAATAAAAGTTGAAAATAGTATATATGCTAATAAAAAAATTCAATGTAAAAAACAAATCTAAGCATTCAACAACCCTGCCACAGCCATGTGAAAGAAAAAAAAAAAGTCATCACAAAACTCAACTAAGGGTACATACCCAAAATAAAACCCATAGTACAAAAAGGCTTTACTTTTATTTTACTCTCTTCCTATTACACCACAAGGTAATTGTAACAATACAAATTTTTCTCTATAATTACTTCTTTATTCTCTACAATTTGATCTTTCCTACTCAGACTCGGTATATCCTACACATCTCTGAGTCCTGTATCCTATATTATTTTAATAAAATACTCATTGCTTTTGAGCAGGCATATCAAGCCAGAATGGTGAATAGGATGTAGGTTGAAGATAGAGAAAGATTTCTGATTGAGGCACGGCTTGAGCATATCGACAATGGTGATTGAGGGGAGAATAGGTTTAAGAAATCAGTTTAGCAAAGGATTGTTGGAGAACTGAATGAGACTTATAAGGCAGTTAGTTCAAAGCCATTTAACTTCCCTCAGATCAAAAGCAAAGAAGTCATTGTAAGTTCATATTTAATCAACTGCTGATCTGGTTAAAGTTATTAGGAAAAATAAACCACAGAGTGAAACTTTAATATCATAGCTGAAGAAAGAGTTTGAAATTGTTCATTCTATGCGCCAAAACTCTGGGTTCAAGTAGGATGATATCAAGGATATACCAATATCCTCCTTATCAGAATCAAAGCTGGTATCACAAATTTGGTGAGAATTTGAATAGGATAATCATTGTTCATTCATTATAAGAAAATAAGAAATAATTGGATTCAAATAGAGATGTGCAATGGATTATTATCTATCTTACAAGAAGAAACTCTTTATTTTAGCATTCGGAGGTGTATACTTTACTTGAGTGCTATTTCATGATTCTACACCTAGCCCTACTATAAAAATATACAATAAAAAATTATAAACACAATAAAAATATATCGTCATTTTGTAACACATGCCAAACACATACCTGTATAAAAACTTTAATATACCAAAAAATATGCTATAAAAGTGACATGCCAAATGGAGCCTAAATTAATTATATACAACTTAATCAGTTATATGTATTATATGTATTACATGTGGGAAACCTGTGACTCATACTTGTGACTCACGCAGGAAAATTATATTATATGACTCACAACTGTTCGTCATTACAAAACCCATAAACACTAAATTCCTATGACTCGTAGTCCTGCCTCATGTGAAAACCTTATTGCTCCTTGTTATTCTGACTTGTCACAATCCAGGTTGTGATACCATCCCTCCAAAACATACTTGCTATTTAATAGACTTTAAGAAAGGATAAGTTGTAACTCTGAGAAAGAAGAATTTCTCTTTTTCAGAAATTGCAAAGTTGTTGAATTGTCACAAGAGTATGATACTGTTTTAAGTTTTTACAACCTATATCAAAAAAAAGTGGTGATTGGTAAAATCCCTCAATAGCAGAATGACTCAAAATTATCAATATCAGAACCCACCACTACCTAGTCAGAAAGTCTAAGAAGGTATACCATCTACTCTTATCTGAATTGAGCAATGAGGTTGTCCTAGAGCTTTCTTTGAAAACTATTAAGCTTTAGTATCAGTCAATATCAAGAAATAGAGAGTTAGGAAAAGAGCATTTCTGAATGATAGATATACTATCAAGGGGCTAGCTTGAGTGAAGGAATATATGGATTCACAAGACAAGGAGTTTGAGGGAGTCATATTTAGTAATGAATGAATAGTTAAAAAGTTAAAAGATCTTAAATGTGTTTAAGTATTCAGAATACTTGAGAAATGCTATAAGAACTGCATTCAAGAGGTTACAAAGAGACCTAGAATAAAGCCAATAGTATGGGCCTGTATTTGGAGTAAAAATAAGGTTTCTCTGATTTCTATTTTTGACAAAAATGTAAATAGATTTGTCTACAGTTTTGAAGGATAGTTTAGTTAATACCTGGTAGGAGGTGGAAGACATAGTTGAACAGCCTATCTTTCAGCAGGATGGTGCAAATATACATAATACAAGAGATACTATGACTTGGTTTGAAGAAAACAACATACAGGCTATGAAATAGCCCCTGAATTCACCAAACCTCAACCTAATTTAAGTTGAGCACTGTTGGAAGTGGGTAAAGGAGAAGCTATATCAGTACTTTCCTAGCATTCACAAGACTGGGGTGAGAAGATACTATTAGGAGATGTTTAGCAGAAGCTCTAAATATGGTTCAGACTCAGCATATTGAAGGAGAATTCTTGGAAAGTTTGTAGAAATGTATGCCCAGCAGAGTGGCTGATGTTTTAGATGCAAAGGGATAGTATACTAAGTATTGATTCTTTTTTCTCTGCAATTTCACAAAGATTTTCCTTTATTTAGTGGATATAAAACTATATTTTTAGTTCATTATAACCAGTTGTAGTTGCATAGGTACAAAATATATGATGGTGTTGTTGCCGTTGCCGTGCCCGACGAAAAGTTTTGTCCCCCTACTTTAGTACACCAAAAGTCACTTGCCGCATCTGGGTGTCGCCCGACTAAGACACCCCCGTGTCCAGCGAGCTAGACCACCACCTCTGATGCGAATCCCGAGCTTGACTTGACTTCTCGTGTATCAAAGCACTATCTCGAACGCTCTCCCTAGTTCGTACCAATATCAGTGGTGGAACTGAATTATTATTTCACGCATGGTATCGTACCGGTACTCCGTACATGTCAGAAAAAAAATTCGGGATGGAATAGTGTGTTAGGGCCACGAGTATGATAGTGATTTCTTTTTGTTCCCCTTTTGAAATCAAGGACACAAATTTTATTCAAAAAAACCCACCAGGTAAAATCAAGAATCAAATGATTTCAAAGACTACTGTAAAAATCGTTGCATCATGAAAGAAACAGAAAACAACTCGAAATAAATAACCCCTAATACTACGCCATGCAGATGTTCGTGGTTCCTCCCTCTCCTACTTGTCTTCCCTCCCGCTAAACCACCAACTACGTGATGCACTTAGGCATACCGATAAAACGCCACATTTCCAAAATCCGCCATGGCAATATGCCCCGACGGATTATACAGCTGCGGGTTGAAGCTGTCAATCTCCCCCCACTCAATGCTCAGTTGATGCCTAAGCACCCTCTCCGCCTCCTCCCTCGTAACCCGGGGCCTAGGTGGCACCAATAGGGTTTGCTGCCGTGCCTCCAGGTTCCCCAACATGTAACTCGATTCCCCGCGGAATTTATCTCTTAGGGCTTCAACCTCCTGCCAGCGCACAATCATAGAAGTGAGGACGAATATGATGGCTTTGATGGCGTCAATGGTTGATGTCACATTCGCGCTTGTGATAATGGTGTCCTCCGAGCGCCAGAGTGCGTGGAGGAAGTTGTTCCCAATAAAATATGTTCGGAGTGCGTCGTGGTACGTGTATACAAAACGGACATTCGAGTTTTGGAGGATACTGCGGAACATGAGCGCGTAGTTTACGCAGTTCTGGAAGACTTGGACTATGGCTTCGTCACAAGGTCTTGGAATCTTGGGACACGGTGCTGCGGTGTAGACATTTAGGTAGTACCATTCTAAATACAGCCAGTCGCGTGTGGAGTTGTTTATTGACTCTGGAATTTTGCCTAGCCATTCCTTCAGGATCGCAGTTTTGCTGCGGAAGTAGGCCATTGAATCTTGAACGGGCTCCGAGCCCGAGAGGTGCAGGAATTGATACCACTCTGATTGCAGTTTGCGGAGACGAAAAAGATGTATCGCGGCAGCCATAGGCGTTAATGTTCCCCGGACTATTATCTGCTTTGCTACCTTTGGGTCCTCAAGTTTTGGGAGGTCGACTAATACTGAGTCGTCCGAGAATGTAAATGGTCGTTGCAGAGCCATACTGATCGACCTGCAGAACTCAGTAAAAATATTACTGGCAGAAATTCAGAACCCAATATACCTGTCCAAAGTATACACACAATAGAAAATTCTCCTTCTCAAGTCCATGTCAGCCGACTTCTTCCTCAGGCTTTTTGTTGGCTCCTGATGAAGCCCCAAATCCACCATTATCCGTGATGCAATCCCAATCAAATACCAACTATTAAAATGCGCAGGTTCTAGCATAGAGTACTGCACCAGGAGCAGGGCAGCCTGAACACCGGTGATAGCACTAGGAGAAATCACGGCATCCGCATGCTCAAGCGCAGATTTTACAAAGCACGCCGCATTATGTGCTGCCGGGGAGTCCCTGCTTTTTGACAGTGACATCGTCCCGATAGCAAGCACCATGTAAACCGTGTAAATATCGTAGGGAGAGCACGTCGATTCATCGCGATACACCGAGTCCACAGCGCCGAAGAAACTAGCCTCGTTCAGACACGGAAGTGTGGTGAATATCCTGTCGAAGTAGTGCTGTATCAATTGTGTCGCGGTGTGACGTGGAGGAAGTCTCGCCCGAGGCTTTGACTCGAGAGCCTTCGAAGCGGTTGACGCCTTTAGCACGACCTTTGCAAAGGTCATATCTCTCGCAAATCCATAAAAATCTCGAGTCGTAGCATTGATAGCCCTAGATTATGAATCCACCCCAGTTACTACTAACCATCCCACTCCCCACCTCGCTCCGGATCGGGCAATAGAGGTGTAAACTCACATATATCCCAAATCAGCAACCAGATCTTCAATCTCATTCGCCTCCTCCCTTTTTTTCGTCTTAGCTCTCGCCCCATTCGGCAGCGGCGACCCAGGCGTTGCAATCCGTCGATCTTGAAAATCCTCGATCAGTAAACCAAATCCCAAACAATCTCGGCGTCACTTCACAAACCTCTTCTAAGATCCTGCTGCGGGTGCGTCAAGCGGGAGTCGCCACCACCAGCCCCATTACCACCCATCGACCCAGAGGGAGCTTTGCGGCTCTCCAGAGTAGCAAGTTCCTTCTCCAGCTTCTCCACCTTTGACTCTAGCCATGCAATATAGCTTTCCACATCCGTCAGAAACCCTCTGAGCGCTTGATTTCAAAGTACTCACCTCCTCTCCTTCCCGCGAGCAAACTGGTCACTACCGCCGGTACATTCGTTGGCTTTTCCGGACTTTTCGCACGCAGTGCAAGCGGGGAGTTTTCCATCACACTAGAGTCGGGATTTTAGTTTGTTCGTTTCGTCTAAAGAAGGGGAGGGGAAAGGCTGGTTCTTATTATCGGGCGTGTAATACTTTGACTTTGGCGCTCCTGCATCGTGAGCAGGCACTAACAGGTCTGCTAACTCTCAAAAGTGGAGCACTCAAATCAGACGCGGAGTTGCTCATATCTTCCCTCTTTCCCTCTTCCTCCCTTCCCTAGGTCACTTCCCCTCGTTTCCCCTTTCTCACGCGCTCACACGATCGAAGAAAAGGTAGAGGAGAAAAAAGGCTCAAAAGAAGTTCAGACCTGCCCCCTTCCGAAGAAAGAAGAAAAAGTAAAAAAGAAGCACAGCTCCCAGGAAAGTTGAGGTTCAACTCCACCGGTTATGCAAGAAAAAAACAAGCAAGAAAAGCAGATAAAGAAAGGCTCAAGTATGATAGAGTCAAAGCAAGCTTAACATGCACTTGTCCCAGGCCATAAGTACCCGAAAACAAGGGGAATATATTTTGTGTGGGAGACTTTGATGGGCTCAGATACCGTATTTGACCATATATTTCGCAAGTTCCTGTTTTGGGGTGCTTCTGGGCCGGGACAGGTTTGATCTGACCTAATGCCTCATCCCCCATCCCATTCATCCATCCACACAACCACACATGTCTCTCATGGCTTGATTCCTGCCTCCCCGCACTTTCTCCGGAAGTCAGCCTGCTCGAAATTGGACTTCGTTAGGTTACACACAGGGGTAGCAGCCGTTGTACTGTAACGGCTGCGCACAGATCACTATGTTGCCAATCTAATATTCATTCATTCATGCCCCGACAGGTGCTGTGGGCCCCTCGCCTCTTCTCCTGGGAAGCAACAAAATTGTTGCGAAGTGATTTTGGTTACCGCAATACCGGTACTCGAGTAGCGGCATTCAGCCCCGTGGTTGAAAAACCTGTAAGCAAGTCTGCCTGGTCGAAGGACTTTGGTCTGTGTAACTCCTTTACCGTATCGCAGACAAATTCGGCGGACCCACCCAAACCCTGGCACTCCGGGGGACGCTTTCTCGGCTCCCGGCTGAATGCCTCGGATGGGGAAGGAAGGAGGAAGGAAGGACAGCTTCGTAATATCGAACCCATCCTTGGGGAGGAAGAGGGAAATTCGTCGTCGGTACGATATTCTACAGTACAGTACGAGTACTGTGCTATACTTATACTATACCTAGAAAGGCCTTTTTTTTCTTCTTCTTGAAAGTGGAGGCGGCGGCCCGCCTTTCGCCCCGCATAAGATGCAATCAGATATCGTAAATTCGATAGAATACGCCTTATGACCTCCTAGTTATGACAACTTCCTCCCTAACCACGGCACTTGAGCATTGTGGGATTAACCTGATACCTAGAAGTCCAACTCCATCCATCCATCAGCCAGAGTGAGCGCCCGAGTACGGTATCTTTCTCTAATACCATACCCGCACAGATCAGTCTTCCCCCATCTAGACGAGCGCCGTAGAACTCGACTCATGCGAGCACCAAGATGGGGAAAAAAAGATTCAAATCCTATCTATCATTCGTATTCATCCCATCCACCCACCCCCATACAACCCCCTATACTCGAGCAGAACGCGGGACTCCGAGTCCTCGCCAAATAGCACAGTCCTATTTCCATCCAGCTCCATCCGACCTTATCCCATCCGATTATCCCCTCCCCGACGTGCACACCGCGCCCCGCAACCTAAGTACACAAGTACCGAGCAGTCGTAAGACGGACGGGGGTGTCAATACGAGAACTGCACATACAAGTAAGATGACTGGTGGACAGGCGACTAAGTTACCGGTGCCGGTATTAGTATCATACCGAATCATGCCATGAAAAAGGGTGGGAATTTTCACTTTTCACATCTTGTGCAGAAGGATATTACCGCAGTGATAGTGAAAAAGAAAGAAAAAAGAAGGTATCTGTGAGGTTGCCATAGTACCAAGGATACAAGGGATATTGTGCTCTTTTGTATCAGAGAGCTATTCCACCCAGGGAATTCAAGAAACCACGGCAATGTGTGGATAACATAGCGGTACTCGTACTGTACCGGCATGCTAATAGAAGTTCAAAAGAAAAAGTAAAAAGTAAAGCGATCAAACTTTGATCAGTTCCCTGGCCAGATGGAGGGTTCCCTCGTCCTTCTTTGCAAGCTTCTGTGGTATCAACCATGGTGCGCGTGCGCGAGCGATCTCCCCCCGGGCAGTTGCTGTGTTGTGTTGCACAACCTTCCTTGCTCGTTCAAAACAGGAGGAGGGTGAGACTATGAGGGGGGAAGGAGTACCATAAATAATCGAAGTTGTGATCAGATGGAGGGCACAACGGCAGAACTAACCCCAACCTGCCAGTCGTACCGGCGGCACTCTGCGCTGGTCTCGGGGGTCGAGAGGGAAGAGTCGCCGACTCGGGAGAATTGCGACACGAGAAATACAAGTACGGTACCTGTACTATAGTCGGTACGCTTGTATACTACCGTACAGGTATTGTGCCGGTGCAAGGGTGAGTCATGAAAATCCATGCCTTCCAACTTCCAACCCGGGGTCTTGTGCTATGGCACCACCTGGAATGAGTGGTGAGGAAGGTGAAAGGGGAACAATGAGCAACAGATGAATATGGTCATGATATTTCTGGTTCTTCAGTTTTTGCTTGAATCCAACAAGTTAGCCCTGAGTTGGACAAAGTTATGGTACGGTACACATCTTGCAAGCGCTCTCTATATCATACTCGTACAAGTGGCTATGTACAGTACTCGTACAGTACCGCCGCCATCTGGTCTCTGAACCCTGCTGCGTACCGGTACTGCACCATCAACACTTGTGCCATACAACGACACGAGCATGTTAAGATCATCACTAACCGAAAGCCCCCAAGGGGCCCACATTCACCCACTGACTCCAAGAGGAGGAGAGACTGGGCGTCGTCAAAGTTTCTTGAGTGCCGATACATTTAGGTCCCGGATGCCCTTTGAATTCTCGCCGTACCGGTATCCTACCGGTTTATCGCACTGATCCCCTTGAGCTCTGGTGGAACAAGCCGAAAACCAACTTGCAGCCAGACAATAATACAAGTAATACGGTACGGTACCCATTGCGCTTGCTCGTGAAACCAATTTTTTCGGAACATTCCACTCCATTGGGTGTTGTTTTCCCTTGTTTTTCCCCTTCCGAGACAAAGAACCCCTTACTGTAGCCCGCGGCCTTGTGCTACCGCTCAACATGATCACGTTCTGCAGAACGCGGGGAATTGATAAATTCGTCGAACCGCTGACAGCAAGAACTGCTAACCTTGCAGCCATTTGCTTCAAACCCTGACGCATCTACTCGTACAAATTTTACGGCGTTTATCGTACGGAATTCCGTCTTATTCTTTTTTTGGTACGTTTCCTCGGCACGGTTGCGCCTCTACTGTCCTCGTACAGGCCAGAAGGGTCGAGGTGGTCGCAAAGGAGGAGGAAAAAGGATTGGAAAAAGCGGAAAGAAAAAGAAAAAAGAAAAGAAGGGATAAAAAAGGGATAAAAAAGGAAAAAGTAAAGGTCGGTCTTCCGATTTGGCCGCCTTCCATCATCATCGACACGGGAAATAAGCATCTCGGTCGCAACGATCAATCTGACTCAAACCAATCTCCATGAGTTCTCGATGGAAGCGAAGGAAAATAACGGCTCAAGAAAATCCCCAGGGGCAAGCAATAAGGCAGAACAACGAAGAAGTTCCGCTGATGGTCGTCGAGGGATCAACGGCGACGATAGGGATACCGATGCAAGCGGACGAGGGTCTGAGAACTCCAACGCTCCAAAGTTATACCATACTTTGACCGCCTGCACACGATGCAGGAGTGTAAGAGCCTATCGCTATTTTTTTATTGTGCTTGAAGCTAGTTTCTCACTGTTGATAGCGAAAAACACGCTGTGATGCAGGCCTACCAAAATGTGGACCATGTGAGCGAAGTGGTGCACACTGCGAATTCTTCGATTCAACGAAGCAGAAAACGATCCCAAGAAGTTATGTCGTCCATCTGCAAAATAGGGTCCGAGACTTAGAGGAGCAGATAAAGGTCAGGGAGGCCCTTTTCCTTGAGTCCGAGGCTCCAAACAGCGAAGAACTTGTCAGGGGAGTCGGCCTGGTAAACTTCGCCGACTACGAGCATTATAAGGAACCACGATATGTAGGTTCCTCGAGTGGAGTTACTGTAACCCGCTTGGTCCTAGAGGCCACGAAGAAGAACCTAGATTCTCAGGCTTTTAAGGATTTGACTTCCCAACATCGAAATACTTTTCGACATGCGCTGCGAACCAACCCAGATCCAGGTGATTCACACGCAAATCTCAGCTCTTTGCCGGCTTCCAGACTCCCCAGCCGTGAGATCACTGATAAGCTGGTCGAGCTTTTTTGTGCAAGAGGTCCGTCCCGATCATCGCCAGAAAACTGCTGTGTCTGACTGATCCTTCAATCCTAGCACTCTATCAACTCCCCGTACTTCACGAGCCTACGTTTGTCCAAGATGTAGCCGATGTGTATGCCGGCTCGGGGGATCCCTTCAAAAATTTCCAACTGAAGATGGTGCTAGCGATTAGTATGCAGAAGCTATCGAAGCACTATGCTGGCCTTGCTGATAGCTATTTCCTCGCTGGCTTGCAGCATATGGAGGACGTCCTGGAGGCTATGGATCACAGGACACTCCAGTGCTTGCTTGTAATGGCACAATATGCTCTAGTAACCCCCACTCGCATGGCGGTAGGTAATCTCGATACCCCCCCCCCCTTGTGGCCTGATATCTGACCATAGTGGGGTAGGTCTATCACATAGTTGGGATTGCAGTCCGGCTGTGCATACAGCTTGGGTATCATCAGGAGCGAACAATCATGCTCAGTGCCACCCCCCTCGATCCGGTAACTAAAGATATGAGAAGAAGGTGGTTTTGGACGTCTGCCTCTATGGAGTATGTGATGCCTGTCATGATTACACTTTTCTTTTTTCTCCCGGAGCCCCAACGTTTCAAGCTGCCATGAGGGTATTGCAAACTAACTCATCGGTAGATATGGGCTTTCCCATGTACTAGGCCGGCCATCAGCATTTGCAACCGCAGACGCCTTTGTGGACGTTGGATTTTATGAACCAGTCGATGATGTGTACATAACAGCTGGTGGAATCCTACCAGGTCCCGTTTCTGTTAAAAAACTGATATCCATGCATTTCTTCCGTATGAGGAGGCTACAGGCCGAGATTCGACAAACATTATATCAAAACCCAAGGGAACACCCGAAAAATAACAGCGACCCTTGGTTTGCTCAAATTCATGCGAAACTTGACAACTGGAGAGCCTCTTGTCCTGTAGATGAACACGGTGGTACTATGAATCCAGACTGGTAGGTCTCTTTTGGCGTACTTTTAAAATCTATACTAATATCAGTACGTAGGTTTGATCATAGGTAAGTTGATAAGTCAATATAATAAGATCCTACCCGCACTGACCGAATTACAGATACCATCTTATGATCATCTTCACCTATCGCCCAAGCCCTCAGATACCCCAACCCTCAGCAGAGGCGGTCTCGCACTGTTATAACTCCGCCATAAAGGGAATTCATCTCCAAAAGAAAATGTTTGAAGAAAAGTCAATCGACTTCACCTGGGTCTACCTTCATCAGATCTACACTGCGACTATCACCCTGATCTGGACTCTGTACAGCAGCCAGATTCGTGGAGTGCACCATCGGGAGGAAGTGGAGCGTAATCTGGGGATCAGTCTTTCCTTGTTAGCTAGGCTCGCAGAACGTTGGCCGGGCACAGAAGCAGCGGCAGACCTATTTGACAGACTAGGTCAGGCGGCCTTGCAGAGCTATTCCGGGAATAGTAGACACTCTACTCAATCACCCTCCACCGGGTCGCATCACTCCCACGCCGGATCTCCGCCAGCAACGAGGACTAGTTTCTCCCCCCATAGCCATTCCTCCCCATGCACGTACGAGAGTTCGTCTGGCTCACGCTCGGTGGAAATGACACCTAGTCCTGGAACATCTGGAACGGCTACTTCTCATGGTGCCTCATATTCCACTGGGTTTCGTTCTACCGATTACGAGAATGAGCAGAACCGTAGTCCCCCAGGCCCAGAGTTGCCCGAAGCCGCAGATTTGCCAAGCATATTCGATCCGGCCTCAATGTATAATGTGTTTCCAACAAATGGCATTCCAGGGTTCCTGGGTGGCTGGGACCCTGCGGACCCTTTTTTTGGTGGCATAGGTAGTGCACAAAATATCGAAGCGTTGGGGGCTATGAATGGACAACCTATCGGTATCGATGCTGCAAACGTGCTTAACCAACAGCAGCAACAGAATGAACTATTGAATATCCTCCAGGACGAATCCTTACAGCGGTTTGATGTAACGAGGCATTGGGTTCCCGATTACGAGAGTCCGCAATTTTATTGACCTCTTGGTCGGGGTTGGCGGTGTTTCTGCTTTTGATCTCTGCAGTTTTCATCGATACCTTCCATTCTCCTTGTTTCTTTCTCGAACGGGTTGGTGGAATGGATGGTGAAATTGCAATATGGCTTATGGTTTTCCTTAATTCTCTGGTTATTAGGCTGTCAGTTTCTAAAAAATCATCAAATTTATTGAAACGAAACGAAAACACTAAGCCTAACTGTGATTCTGCTGCCGCCCCATACCGCCAGTTGCGACTGCCTCGAGTAGTAAACTCGCATCGTATCCCACCAGCACTTTCCCGAGCCAACGTGAGCAGCGCAGCGGAATCCATCCAATATATATCCCACTGCCAACTCCTTCATAAAGTAATAATTCTGACAACGGCGCCTAGCTTCAGGTAGTGTAATGCGAAACTGTCCCACCAGGAGAGAGGAATGAAAGAAAAAAGAAAGCTCCGAGTCGCATGATATGAGCAAAACACCATTCTCCCCCTCGTTCTCCCGAAATTCCGCCCTACCACCAGGATATGGGATACGATTATGAGCACTCAAGATGGCAGAACTTTACCATTTTAGGCAACATTAAGGCGGAAAATGCAAGCGAAATGTTTGAGAAACTCTGATGGAACTGCATGAATACGCAGCTCCGGTGTCGGCGACGCCGAAATTCTTCGGCGTTGCCGATAGCTGTTTGAAGGAATAATGTAACTCGACTGCGCAGAAACTGTACGGCTACCCCCTCGAATGGATTGCCCGTGCCGAGTGCAGAAAAAAACCTCAATAATATTATGATAGGTCTGCCCTATGGGCTATAATATAGTAGTCTTCGAGTTTACTTCGGGATTTTGATGCCTCTTTCTCTCATATTCGTGTAAAGTACCCGTACTTTACTCGAATATTCATCATCAGAGGCACCAGACACCAGACACCGGCTAAAGTGCAACCAACCAGTTCGCAATGTTCTGCGACTCTCACTGGTCGCTATCCACTTATATTCCTTGTCATCATCAGTCACAACAAGTAAAACGCACTTGAGTACCGTATAGCCCTGTACAGTTGCTGTGTCATGTCAGACTGATCGCCGGTCCCCCTCATGCCGCTTCAAAATAATGCTCGAGACTATGATACAGTGTGTAGCTACTCTAACGCCCACTCAGGGATTTCCTGTGCTGCACCATCCCCACCCCCAGTTATCGTAGGGTTATGTGAACTGGCATATATATAGGGCCAGATTGCTAGCTCGGAGTGATACCGGTAACAATTGGCCGCGGAATCCCCCAGGGTTCCTCCACCGGGTTCCGGTATTTCAGCTGGGTTTCGAGGTTGAGTATATCGATATTGACCGTATGGACCCTGTACCTGCCATATTGATCACTCGATTTTCTTGGAGAGCAAGTGGAGTACCGGTATCTCGGGTCAATACCCAGACTACCTTCTTTCCCACGAAGTACCTTGTCATCATACACCTGACGTTCATAACAAGTAATCGAGTTTGGCATCGTGCCTCTCACCCATTGCATATGATAGGGTAGTCTGCTCGTACCGGTAGTGCGAATGATTTAGAGGCCGTTTAGCGTTCCGGTTTTGAGTATCATACTCGTAGTTGCCAACCATGGTACGGGCCTAAAGCTTGTGAACCGACCAATTATGGCCCTTAAAACGGATTATATAAGCAGGTTTTTGGCCAAACCATGGTTGGTAACCTCGTAAAACCGTAAAGTCAAACGTTGTCCGATAGTGCTCATCCAACTAATATCTTGCGTGGGCTGAACCAAGCTTCCCTGCGATCCAGCCCACTCTAGTGACCATGAGATGGTTGCGTTCGGTTTGCTCACTGATAGAGCAATGAAGGGGCAGTTTAGGTGTCATAGTCGGGTAGAAGCCCTATGTTTCTAGGAGGTTCTATCGTATTGTCTGCTCTACTGAGGCACAACTAATTCCCCACCATTAATGCTGGGTACTAGAGCCTTTCCGCAACTGCCATTATATATAAGGGAGATCAGCTAAGTGTTTGCGGGGTCATTAAAATCTGAAGCTAGGCGGTGGCATGTAAGCGATGATTTGAATGGACCATCATGTTGTCTGAGAAGAAAAACAATATCACAGTAGTCAAAAATCCCGATCAGTCGATTTGAAGTTACGATTCACCCAATTGAAAAAATTAGAATTAAAGGCTTAGTGAATTCTCATTATCACAATAGGCTTGCATAAGATTGATCTATTCCCAATTTTGTTTTACGCCTCCTATTTGCTATTGTTATGTTCTCGGGATATCATACGGTATTGTACAGTGCGATAGCTCCCGAAGAGTGGGATCCTTTACCATCACAATAAATCACTCGGCTTATGTTTTCTTGTCGGAAGTGTGGCTTCATTTCATCAGCGCTTGACCTCCTATCGTAGTGTGACAACCCCCCACCGAAACACCATATTCTATGCCTCAATCCATCAGAAGAAGATAGAGTCTGTCCAACCCCATTGCCACCCAAGCACCCTTGAGATCTAGAAAAGAAGCGCACCTATATCAATATCAATCAGTCGTCAATATTCTTTTTTTTGAATGGACTCTAGCGCTTCTACCCACACCAGAGAAGCCCTGATTCTTGGGGCTTTGTAACAGTTAAAGCTGCCTTTCAGGACAAATCTAACGATATCAGTAATAATACCGTACAGCAAAGGGCCAACCTTGCCGTCCGTCTCATCGGATATTTTCTCCAGCTTGTTGTGAGGTCTTTGTCACAGTGATACCAAGCGGCCAGTTCGGCCATAACTTCGAAAAGCCTGGGCCAGTCCGGTCGGTATTATTCACAGATGCTAAAGCCCGGCGGTGCCCATGCAACCGCCCGGTCGAATTTTGCAGCAACCTGGGTCAAAGCAGCCGGATGCCCAGCCCAGGACGGGCTTCGGTTTTGAAAAGCCGCGTTCCCGTATCCCGACCATGCCGTCCTTAAAATAGCCTAAGTCAGTCCGGCCATACCCAAAGCCGAACAGACCGGCAACTTGGGTTCACTGCTTTGATCTCAGCTTTCATCGTCAAGCTTCAGTTTCATATTTGAAAGTCCTAACCCGAGTGTGGTCGGCACGATATCTGATATCTGAATGCTGAACTCCATTCCGAGTAGACCTTGTCCAGCTGAGAAAGGTCCTTCCAGGTGACGGATGGATCAGGGCTTGAGCCTACGCTCCGACCGTTGTTGTCAAGGTACTCGTGCCAAGGTTGTGACATCTCGTCACAACCCCTGGTGCTCGTTTACTCACAAATGGGGGTGTTGGAAATTATGGATTGTTTGTGGAAGCTCGGTCATGAGGATTATCTGGATGTCAGTGGTTAAGCAGCTCGCTTGTTCTCCTTGTACTCTTTCCTGTTGTTTTGTTTTTAGTTTTCTTCTCTCTTCTCAGAGAGCTCTTTCAATATCTGAACAAGAATAACATTGGTCTTAATACAACTCTTGTTTGATTTCTAATTCTCTCTCTGGTTCTTGCTTTCTGTAAAGCTCCTCTACACTCTCTGTACTCAGCAATCAGCTGTGCAGACACTCTATACCATCTATCGCTTGTAGTGTTTGACTTATCATGGATCATTTCTAACAGGTTATGAGCCCGGGTTCGACGCCTGCTCAGATACCTCATCCACTGCATTCACACTGTTTGACAAACCTCACCATTTCACCATTTCATTTTTTTCTATATTACCATTTCTACTATCTTTTGAGACCACTCCCGATCCTGTACCTGCATTCAGCTATGAGTACTAAGAAGGGTTTCTTTCTCTTGAAGCACGCAGGTCCTATTCCGTTGCTTAATCATTTAAACTACAATAGGTGGCAAGCTGGAATAACCATACACCTTAAAGCTATCAAGGTCTATGGAATTGTAATGGGCTCTGTTACGACTCCAATATCTACTTCTAAAGGTAGCAGTTCGGCCTTGGAGTTTGACTCTCTAGAGGCTAAGACAATTGGTACAATCTGTGCCAGCTACTCAGAATCAGCCAAACGCTATCTTACTGGCTGTAAGAGTATAAAGGCTATGGGGTATGTAATTAAGGAAAGGCTTAACAGTGCCACCTCTATTAATGGAAGACTATCACTTCGTAAGTAGTTTCGTGACTGTTGTCCAGCTTCAGAAAAGTCATTGAGGAAATTTATTTTATGGCTTCATAATCTTTGATGATGGCTCGCTGGCTCAGAATAAGCTATTGATGAGGAAACCTTCAAGGATTAGCTGCTTACCTCCCTCCTATCAGCCTGCAATACCTTAATTGAAATTATCCTTGAACGGGAAAGCAGCTACTCCATAGAAGATGTAATTCGGAAGGTTCTTCATGCGGATGTGGCTAACGTTTGAATCAAAAGTACAATTTCTGATGACTCTTCTCTTGTCTCTGGAGATCCTTTCCTATCGGGAACTAGCAACTACATGAATACACTTGGTACTAACTAAGGATGATATTGTAGTTTGAGTAGATGAACTGTATCCTACAAGGCTACTTTTCTTGGCCAATGCCATGTTCTCATCCAAACCTCTCACTGGCACAAGTAGCCAAAGGCTGTAATGCGTACTCAAAGTGGATAAAACTTGGAGATGGAAGGTCTGCCAATACAGCTATAGGTTAAGTTGATCTTGAGATGAGTACACAAGATGATCAGAACTCAGGTATTCCCTAAAACTACTTCTGATTAGCTAACTGATACTTATGAGGAGAAAAATGTGGAAGTATTTCTAGTACAAACTTCGGTTTTATTAGCCAACTCTCTCTCTTTCATTGGGCCTTTAATTCAGGAGCCTCTTATCATATAGGCATTATGAAATCATCCTTTCTCTCCCTTCAGGAAATGTCGAATCCAATTACAACTAGACTTGGGAACAGTAATGTTGTTACTACACAGCAGTCAGGAGAGGTGTCTCTTTATGGCTTGGTAATGGAGGCACTCTATGTTCTGGAGTTTAGACTCTTTCTTATTTCTATTGGACAACTTACGCACCTTGGACTGACAGTTGAGTTTGTTTCCCAAACTTGTAGGATTTGGAGAGAGGCAGATAATTACCATTCAAGGCATATAATAATGCAGGGACATCTTACTAAAGGCTTATACATCTTGGAGTAGCCTTCAGACTACTATCGTAATCATGAAATAGAAGACCTGAGGAGTAGTCCTTTAGTACCTCAAGCGCTTCTTACAACATCTTCATCAAGGTT